ATTTCCAACTGATTAACTTATCTTTAACAAACTGGTACTGCCTCTAGAGCAGGAATTTCAAACCGGATGGCCAAAACAATCTATAGATATAGTAGAAATAAGTAAAGAAGGCTAAATAAAAGATAACAAAGTAATAAGGCCTGTGGCAATCTAGAGAAAACCTCTTATCTAGAGGAGGCAGCTCCTGCTCAGGTGGATGTGGCTGTTGCCATGTGAGACTACAGACCCAGTACCCATTCTATATTCTATATGCCAGATAGATTTTAAGGAAACTGGAAATGCAGACTGTTCATGTGACAAGCTCTAATTTTTAAATGGTGGTAAGATAAAAATTTAAATTACAATGGATGCCTAATAAAACGTTATCTGTGGCCACATTTAGATTGGCACAATGAATGACTCCAGAAGTAAGCTAAAATGCTTCTGGATGATCTACGTTACCATCTTCTTCCTGCCTGTTCATAAATATACTGCCTGTTCATAATATTTATAAATATTATGAACAGGCAGGAAGAAGAAAAAGAAACTTTCCTACAAGCAGCCTAAAAATATACATAATAACCAGTCTTCTTTCAAATCTTTCTACTCCCCATGGTCTCCCCATCACTGGGCTTTTACTCCCGCTTTTTGTTCACTGTTCCTAAAACCTGTTTTCCTGTCATCACCAAGTTAAATCCTACACAAACTTCTGATCTTATTCAAGCATTAACTCCTTAATGAAGTATTCTAACTCCTGCAACAAATCCAATTTTAGGCTCTTGTTGCACAATATACCTCTAATACTTGGCATAGTCACAATTTTATAGTATGACTAATGTGCCCTCCCCAACCAGATCATAAAGTCCGTAAGAACACGTCTGGTTTTGTTCATCGTTGATGTCCCAGCACTCGACACACTGCAAGGCACACAGCATGCACTCAAGAAATACTTGCTAAAGGAAAGAGGAAGAGGAGGAAATAGAGCCCTAAGGAAGACAGCTTTTAAAAATTCTCCATTATCTGCAGGGCTGAACTCTACACTCAACTCCAGAACATTACTGCTACTACAGCACTCTCGTAACAATTCAAGCAGAGATGAACAACAAATTAATCAACAACCAAATGGGAATGAAGAAAGCTTTATAAAACAGTGGTGGGGTGGGGAAGGTGCTAATGTATGTGTTCCTGCTTTTAAGAATATAACCTGGTTGACACCCTGAGATTCTGCATCCTCCTGAGAATTGATGGTGATAATATTACACATCTAGCAAACTGTATAAAACTACCTAAGTTTACTCACTATCAAAAAAATTGTTCCCCAAAACATACTTATTGTAACAACGATGATGACTATTGGAATAAATTCAAGCAAAGATCTTAAAGGAAAGCTTTTAATCTCTATAATTGCAGGGTGTGAGATGCTTCCTCAAAAATGAAGACAGTAAAGGTAATCAAGAGTCAATGATACTCACTAAGAACAAATAGAGGTCAGAGTTTGTAACCCTTCCAGTTAAATATGAACAGGCTAGACAGGTTAAAATGAAGTGGTTCTCAATGCAACTACCAAATCCTTATTAATAAGAGTGAACTGTGATCACCATCTTCTAATTATTTCTCCAGTGGAACCATAAATTGGTTCCTTGCTACTATACAACAAGCAAAAACAGGTCTTCATCATATTCTCTCATTTACTATGCAATAAAAACTTTGTCAAGTGACATTCTTTGTCTAATACGACCCTTTCACTAAACGAAACCATGAAAATTATTGTTATTTCCCCCACTGAATGGTTTCTACCTCCACATAATTCTGAGATAGCTTTACTTAACCTGATTCTATGAAACACTAGTTCTTTCCAAGAATACTCCCTAGGTGTTAGGGTAGGGGCAAACTCAGCGGGTTAAATAAGCTTAGAAAGACTGCATATTCTTCCAATTTAGATACTCATACATTAAAAACAATGAGATTCGTGAACCACAAAATCTGTTTAATCTAGTGGAGTTTTTTGGTTTGTTTTTGAGACAGAGTCTCACTCTCTGTCACCCAGACTAGATTGCAGTGGCCTAATCTTGGCTCACCGCAGCCTCCGCCTCCTGAGTTCACGCAATTCTTCTGCCTCAGCCTCCGGAGTAGCTGGGATTACAGGTGTGCGCCACCATGTCCTGGCTAATTTTTCATTTTTAGTAGATGGGGTTTTGCCACATTAACCAAGCTGGTCTTGAACTCCTGGCCTCAAGTGATCTGCCTGCCTTGGCCTCCAAAGTGCTGGGATTACAGGCATGAGCCACTGCGCCTGGCCTAACCTAGTGTTTCTTAAATATTATAGAACCCAAGTAACAAATTTGGGGGAAAAGCTCCAAACTGGGAAAAGTTCTCTATCGAATCAACAATTTCATGGCTTGGGCCTCTGGAATCTTTACTGTGAAACATATTTCATGGCCTAAGTCAAAAGTTAACCAGAAACCCATCTATACAAATTTGTAACTTTAAAGATACCTGGGTTTCTATTGCCATAAGTTTGAATAATTCTTATTTTCATAAAATATTATCAAAGCACTCTCCCTGGGGCCTTTACTTATATAAAAACTTTCACTACTTCATGATTCTTATGAAATGTGATTACCAAAACATATATCCTTCTCTATAAAATATATAGGAAATAATCTATCTGCATAAAAATATTCTAGCTGTCTGCATAATTTAGTCTTGCATATATCAGAAATCTGATGTTTAACTTAAAAGATACATAGATTGATCCTAATTTTACTAACTATGTATATTAACCAGGCATATCAAAACACTGGAGAACAATGGCAGCAAAAATGAACTATACATAAATTAGAAAGGAAGTTACATCTGGGCAGCAAAGCCTTTTAACATGTATTTAACATCCTTGTATGTCTGGATGGATATTATAATGGAGAAACTTTCTTGACTGGAGAATAAGGTAGAAAGTTGGTGCAACTCACGAGCTCACAAATAGGTAGTAATTCCAAAGCAGAAAAGAAGAGAAAAAAATATTAAATTGGAAACGTAAGTCTGAGACACAACTTAAAAATAATTATCTGAGAACTTCAAAGCTTTCAAGTTCAAATTTCTCTAGGTATTAATTCTAACAACTGCATAAATCAGATCATAAACAACACAGATATTCAAACTGGGTATTAATAAAACTATCAGCAATTTAACCATTTTTAGTCTTTCTGTTGCATTCCTACACAACACTTTTTTCATGATTATTCTTTAAAAATGACACAGCATAAATTTGCTTAAATTCACCCCTCTTTTTCAGCATACTTCAGTATATTGCTTAAATTCACCTTTCAGTATATTTAGCAGTCTCTGATGATATCACAGAATCATGTCATTCTCATACTGATCAATGAAGAAGCTATCCTTAAATTTTAGAAAAACTGCTCTGTACAAAGGACCACTATAAAAACCATCACAGATTTTACTATTTGCAAAGAAGCTCAGATAATAAAACCATTTCATGGCATTTCAGAGCTACAGGGATGGATTAGAAAAGCAAAAACAAAAATAACAAAAATAACAAAAAACTTACTTTGATGGCTCCCCAAGGATAACAACTTCATTCTACGACTAATTCACTTAGGGAATGATCAGTGGGCAAGTTCTGTTGCACTTAGGGAAATGATTAGTAGGCAAGTTCTGTTCCAAGATGTCAATAACCAAATCACGTAAGAATTTAAACTAAATCTTTAGCCATGAATTATATATTGAAGTCAGGAAGAACCAGGCAGACTGCATAAGTTGGGAGTATCTAATCCCTCATGACTTTTGCCCTAATTCTCTAAACTCTAACAACACTGGCCGCCTTGCTGTTGCCCAACTGGACCTCAGTCTTGATCCCTGCCTTGATGCAGAGGAATGCAATCCAAGTCTCTGTTCAACTGTTACCTCCTGAGAGAAGTATCTCTGACTTCTCATCTAAACAAGCCTCATCTGATTTATTCACAGCTGTATGACCAGCAACAAGGACAGGATCCGACACAAATGCTCAATAAGTACTTCTTGAATGAATTCATTAATCTACATATAATTTAATAATACAGAAACAAATCTGATGACAATTTAAAAACACGTATATTAACAAAACATCTAATATCCAATCCCAATTTGAAGTCCAGAAAAAAACAGACTTAAAATCAGATCTCTATACTTGCTATTTGCTTTTGGAAATGAGTGAGTAAAACATGAAAAATTCCACGTAGGTATAAAGTTATATGTTAGTTCTGAGAAATCACAGCACATATACAATGATTCCATGTTACATAGAGTCCATAAAGATCTGATGATTCACAAGCAAAGACAAAAGTTTGGTATTAGTGTCCTAAGTATACTCTATTTAACACACATGCATAGTATTTTAAAAGTATAATCTAGAATATAAATAAAAGTATAAAAGGTATAACGATCTAGAATATAAATATGCAAAATGAGATTACTAGAATCCAATCCAATCATTAACTAAATAAAAATTAAAAGTGTTAAATATGGCTTGGTCAGAATATATAGAAATAACCATTTTAAGGAGGTTAAAAAAAGAAAGTTTGCTAAACGTGAACCAAAGGCTTATATTCACAGATACCCAAGTATTTAGTTCTCTTAATTACATACTCTGTAAGCATTATAATCACTATAATCTCTCTCTTTAAAGAGCGTAAGACATTACATTTTTAAAAACAAAGAATATTATGCCAAAAAGCTCTCCCAAACTGACCTCATAACTTAATGGCTTTAAATACTGACCAGGTGGCACTGCCCTACTTGCAAGTTAATCAAATCAGCTTTTGTTTACATATATTCAACTTAGTTTGAAGGAAAAGAAACACAAAACAGGATACCCATGAATCAATACACCACACAGATCAATCAGCACAAGTGATCAACAAAGAAAAATGTTTGAAATAAAAAATATAAGAGAATATTTTCTTCAACATGTGCTACTCACATAAAATCCCTGGAACAAAAGAACATCTACAGCCAAATTAACTTACCGTTACAGATTTCAGTGTCATACCATGGTAGGTTCCCATAGTGTCAATTTTGAAGCCTTCCGTTTCTATGAAAAAAAGAGGCTTACTGTTAAGATTTTATAGATCATGTATCTTATGACCTATAACAAATCTAAAGTAATAATCTACATTGAATGTGATGGTTCAATAGTATAACAAAGCCTTGAATCTACTATGTAAAATTAAATTCCATACTTGTGAAGATAAAAACTTTAAAAAGGACACTAGGGTAAAAAATACTAATATATTAAATAAAGACCAGCAAGCCTATTGTATAGAAGCTGGTTAAGACTATCTCTGCAATTATGTTCAAAAATTAGACTGAATACTTTATAACTCCAAATTACTTACTACTAATACTCAATGACAGTACCATTAAAAGCACCTAATACCATGAGAAGACCCAAAGTTATAAAAAGTAGTGTTCCAAAGTTTCAGTCATAAGGCATATACTTATTTTTATATACATACATACACATATATACACACACACACTTTTTTTTTTCTTTTGAGGTAGGGTCTTACTCTGTCACCTAGCCTGGAGTACAGTGGCACAATCTCAGTTCACTGCAACCTCTTCTCTCATCCCTCCTCCGCAGGTTCAAGCAATCCTCCCACCTCAGCCTCCTGAGTAGCTAGGACCACTGGCATGTACCATTGCACCCAGCTATTTTTTTGTATTTTTAGTAGAGATGGGGTCTTGCCATCTTGGTCAGGCTGGTCACAAAGCACTGAACTCAAGCAATCCTCCTGCCTCCACCTCCAAAAGTGCTGGGATTACAGGTGTGAGCCACAGCAATCAACCATATTATATATTTTATAGACAGCAGTGTTGTAAATAATGATTGGAGTGCCAGGACAGAATCCCAATATGCCTTTCTGCAAAGGCAAATATTTCACATACTGCAAGCCTTAAAATCTCTGTCACAACTACCCAATTCTGTATCTGTAGTGCAAAAACAGAATACACAATATATGTGATCAAATGGGGGCAACCCAATTTGGCCCATGGAGGATTATATTTAGTTTTGGAGATGTAATTTACCAACCTCTGCTTTATATAATTCATTCCCCAAGAAAAACATTGAATATTATAACGAAAGAATGGACGTAGTCTTTCTGTGGCACATATCCAGTGCATGCTTTTATCAACTAAATGAAGTCAGCACACAAAATACATTGCATCAAGGCAACATATCATTTAAAAAAACCTTAAGATTTCAGATTATGCATAAAAATATCATTAACTTCCAGCTGCTTCTACTTAATATTTTCATGAATCAAGTCATGATGAATGAAGATTCCAAGAGGAAGTTACACTGACATTAGTCTCACCTCACAACTGCAGAAATGGTTCATTATTGCATTAGCCACAATATCACGTAGACCATCACAAAATAAGTCCTCCCATCATTGCTCAAAATCTGTTTCCAAGTTCTCAATGCACATACACATTTATAACTTGAGAAACATGACAACATATAAAATCTCTACTTTATATAAAAACAAAAGCAGTATGAATAACAGCAAACATTTATAGATAATTTACTTACCTATCAGATACTATTCTGGGAACTTAATATTTATTAACCAGTCCAATACTCATAATAACCATAAGAGACAGGTACTATAGTAATATTTTAATTACACACAGGAGAAAACTAAGGCAGAATGTAGTTAAAGTAACATTAAAATTCACATAAAAAGTTAATACGACATAAGCTATCTGGATCCAGAATCCATGCTATTAACCAAGGGCTGGCCAACTTTTTTCTGTAAAGGGTCAAATAATATTTTTAGGCTTTGTAGGCTACACAGTCTCTACTGAAACAATTTTATACTGATGTCACAAAGCCAAAGCAGTCATATATAAAATACATAAATGAATGAGTGTGGCTGTGTCCCAACAAAATGTTATTTAAGAAAACTTGCAGTGGGTAGGATCTGGTCTGTAGACATTATTTTGCCAACCCTTACCCTACCCAAACATCAGCCCATACTGTCTCTCAAGTTCAACACAACCACACTAAGGGGAAGATAAGAATTAAGCAACTTGCCTTCTTTTCCTTTGAATCTTTCCTGATCGTATCTGTTATAGGCAGCTGGGATAGGCTGTTTGGTGCGCAAAGTAGGATCCTGTAAAAAAATTAATTATGAGTTATTTGTTAGTATTTTTAAACGTCACTTATTTAATGTGCTGGAGTGCAGTAGTGTGACCATGGCTCACTGCAGCCAAGACCTCCTGGGCCCAAGTGATCCTCCCCGCTCAGCCTTCCAAGTAGCTGGCACCACAGGCATGTACCACCACACTCAGCTAATTTTTTTTTTTTAATTTTTTTATAGAGACAAAGTTTCACCATGCTGCTCAAGCTGGTTTTGAATCCCAGTCTCAGGTGATCGACCTCAGTCTCCCAAAGTGCTAGGATTACAGGTATGAGCCACTATACCTGGCTAAAGTATCTTTATGACGTAATACTCTTCCCTCCAATAATAATTGTTTTAACAAAACAAAACAAAAAACCCTTAAATTCAAAGTATATTGAGTTTAGTTTTAGAGACTTTTAGCTGAATTATCCACCAAACTATTAATCCTTAAATAAACATGAAAGCCATGATGATTAATCCATTATAAACAGAGTAAGACTGAAGTAAGAGGTATCTTTTTTAAAATAATTAGAAAAGGCTGTTAGTCTAATGATGCATTATTTAATCACAAATACTTTATCAAAACTCACAATGTTTAACAAACTAAAAACACATATTTAACAATATTCTCAAAGCTACTTGGAAAATTCATGAAGACTGAAATACTTTTCATTTTACTACAATAGGATTCTATATCAAATATTATGCCAAATACACTTATCAATACCTATCAAGAATGATAAATATACGCTTACTTCACACTAGGCATATACTTCTATAGTCAAGGGCCAAACATTAAAACCTTCAAGTATTCTAACGATTATATAAATATACAGAAAGAATATGCAGTCACAAATGGTAGAACTGTTTTAAGGTTTGACATGTTTCCTATCAACTGCTATTCGAAATGTCAACCAATTCATAATTCTAAGTACCCTGTGCTTTGCCATCATAGCTCTTACTTCACTACCTTTAAAAAAAAAAAACATTTAAGTAAGGAACTGCTGAGGGATCTAGGTTACATGGTCATTATGAGACTCTAACTAAACCCTGATGATCTGAGGTGGAACAGTTTCATTCCAAAACCCTCCCCCAATTCGTGAAAAAACTGTCTTCCATGAAACTGGTCCCTGGTGCCAAAAAGGTTGGGGACTGCTGTATTAGACTACAAGCTCAAAGAAAGTAGGGACTATAATCTTTCTCATTATTGTATCTCAGGATCACTAGCAGACTGTCTAATAGTAGGCACTTAAGTACTTGATGGAGAATCAACTAAAAGTATTTATCTAATTATCAACAAAAATCTACCATCTTTAAAAGTTAAATTCCAACAATTTCATGAGCAAATAAAACTACTACAAAGTAGTTGCAAAGGCTATATTAGTACTCTAATACATTTCAATATGCCTTTTAAAACCTGACATAGTTTTAAAAATATAGAAGATTCTTTGGGAGGCTGAGGCAGGCAGATCACCTGAGATTAGAAGTTCAAGACCAGCCTGGCCAACATGATGAAACCCCATCTCTACTAAAAATACAAAAATTAACCAGGCATGGTGGCATGTGCCTGTAATCCCAGCTACTTGGGAGGCTGAGGCAGAAGAATCACTGGAACCCAGGAGGTGGAGGTTGCAGCGAGCCAAGATCAGGCCAGTGACTCCAGCCTGGGCAACAGAGTGAGACTCTATCTCAAAAAAAAATTTTTTTAAATAAATTTTCTATTTATAGAATCTTCTATTTTCTATTGCAGAAAATAGAAACAATTTCATTTGTGTGTTTTGTTCCTTTGTTGAATCACATGAAAATAGCTGGAAGGATTTTCAACAAAATTAGAGTATGTTTGAATTTAAATACAGGCTGTATGTCATATATGAAATTTACTTTGGGAGGGTCTTAAATGGCATTTCAAAGAGAAGGCAGTCAACTCTCAGAGCAGCTGAAATGGAGGCACAATTAAAGGAAAGCATGGCTGGTGACCAGGAGAAATACATTCACCAAGGTGTAATAGATATAATGTCAAAAAGAACCCCAAACTGGGAGGTAACAGAGATTTATGTTATTAACAATGGTTAGTTCCCAAGCAACAATGAGTAGGCCAGCCAGTTTACCTAAAATAAATAAAGGGTTTTCCTTAATTAACCTTTTTCAGACTCTGACCCAGGTATATTAAGAATTACTGCTCTGGTTAAGAATTACTGCTGAAATAAGTAACTTTTAATGCTGGGAAGGGCTTTCACATCTTTCAGATATTCGGAAGCAGCAAAAGGTTTAGAATCCACTGATTTTAAAATGTGAAGATGTCTTTAATGTTACTACACTGCAATGTAAGTGGCAACTTCATTAAAATTACTGTAAAGCAGTAAAGCATTCTTACCACAGGTGCTGCATTTGGGGCTGGTCGCTGTTCAGGTGCACGCCCTTCTTCTCTGGCTTTTACAGATTGAAGAATTGCAAAAATGTTCTTGGAAAAATTCTAAAATATAAATGGATTTTAATTAAGCCCACTTTAAATATACAATAGTAAATTTACTTAATAAATAATTTAAGACTAAGTTATCTTACTATCAATTCTTCCCTACTATGTATGTCATAAGGTATCATTATTATACACAAATGTAAAAACCAGCCACTAAGATATTCATCCACAGACTGATTATTGTAAATCCCATGGTATTCATCACTTTCATTTTACTTAAACTGCTACAAATGTATTCATATATTTCATATTCGGCATCTGTTCAAATATAAAACCAGAAAACAAGTAAAAATCTAAATAAGGCCAGGCGCAGTGGCTCACGCCTGTAATCTCAGCACTTTGGGAAGCCAAGGTGGGTGGATCACGAGGTCAGGAGATCAAGGCCATTCTGGCTAACATGGTGAAACTCCGTCTCTACCAAAACTACAAAAAATTAGCCGGGCATGGTGGCAGGCACCTGTAGTCCCAGCTACTCGGGAGGCTGAGGCAGGGGAATGGCGTGAATCTGGGAGGTGGAGCTTGCAGTGAGCCATGATAAAGTTGGAAAGTACAAGTACAAATGCTCTTCGACTTATGATGCAATTACATGCTGATCAAAAGTCAACACAGCTAACTAATCTGACTACTTTTTCCTTCAAGAAACATTCTTCCTTCATGCTACAGATTGAATGTCTCCTCTAAAACTCATGTCGAAATTTTACTCCTTGTAATAGTATTAGGAGGTGGAGACTTTAAGAGGTGATTAGGTAGGTCATAAGGGCTCCACCCTTACGAATGAATTAATGTTGTTTTTGCAAAAGTGGGCTCAGATTCCCGATATAATAAGTTTGGCCCCATTTCTCTCTGTGTCTCATTTGCTTGCTTGCTTGCTTCTGCCTTCTGCCATGAAATGACCCTCACCAGATGCCACTGCTATGCTCTTGGATTTCCCAGCCTACAGAAATGTGAGAAATTTCTTGTCTTCACAAATTACCCAGTCTGTGATATCCACAGCAGCAGAAAACAGACAAAGACACTTGGCCTCTGAGATGCTACTCTCTCTCGGTTTTACCCCTAATGTCTGACAGTTCCTTTGGGGCTCTTCTTATGCCGCCTATCAATCGCTTAACATTTGAAGGAATATGTAGTAAGAATCTACTCTAAGTCAAATACCTTGCTTGGCACTTGGGTACAATCATGATCAAAAAAGACATGGCCACTGCCCTCATGAACCTCAAATACAACATAATTTCTCTTCTTTAAACAAAGCATTCTGTTTCCTTGGCTTGCACCACTCTTCCCACCTTACCCCTTTCACCTCTCTCACTCGTTTTTATTCTTTAGGTGTCACTCCTCTTTACTCTCAATTAAGTTACCTGCCCTTGCTGGGTGTCTGCCCTACAATGTACCTAATAATTACTGCTTATTTAATTTTGACTTCTGCTAAAGAGTGTAACTTCTGTGAGAGCTAAGACCAATGCACCTCCGGTCAGTGCTTAGCACTGGCCTAGTTTGTAGATGTTAAATACTATACAAATAAATATGTATATAAAATGAGAGGCTGCTTGAAATATCACTATTATCACTATATCAGTTGCAGTGCTAACTAATTCCTATAATTCTCTGGAGCAGCAAATATAAGTCTCAGGACCCCTTTGCACTCTTACAAATTATTGAGGACCCCAAAGAGCTTTAAGTTTGTGTGAATTACAGTATCTATTGAATTAAAGATTAAAACTGAAAAAAATTTAAATTCTTTTAAAAATAAGAAGACAAGATTTCATGTAAACATAATAGCATATTTCATGAAAAATCACTTTTCAAAATGCATAAAGGTAATGACAAGAAACAGTGGCAGGTTTTTAATTTTTGCAAATTTCCTTAATCTCTGGCTTAATAGAAGACAGCTATATTCTCAGATAGGCTTCTACATTCAACATTCACTGTGCTCTCTTATTTGGTCAAAGAATACAGAGAAAACGTATCCTTACACAAACAGTTGGAAAAGGGAAGAACATTCTAGTAGTTTTTCAGGTAACTGTGGATAGTCTTCTTTGATATTATACCATAATGCAATAAATGGTTCTTAAAGGTTAATGCAACGTGGAAACCACATCCATAAACTTTGTGTATAGGTACTTTAAAATCCATCAGTCTCTCTTGCACTTTAAATGAACTTTTTACCCATGTATGATTTGTGACAGCATTCACTGGTCATCTGGAAAATATCAGTCACTGAACTATGTACATTTTCCAAATATTAACATGGTTAATTATACAGTATCAACAAACTATACTTGTTAATATTATTTGTAAAAGACTCACTAGAAGACTTTAAGAATTAGAAAATTGCTTGTTTCTTTACTTATGGGTAGAAAAAGGATTAGAAAAGTGTTATGGTGACAGCAGCATAAAGAAACTTCCCAAAATTCTAACTTTCTCATGAAAGCTCTCATTTTATCATTGGCAACAAATACTATCAGTTGCTTTCCTTGAAGGAACATATTTATTTCCTTCACTTTCAAAAAAAAAAATCTGCCAAATAACCAAGTCTGAATAACACTCTAATAAAAAAATGTTGATTCAGTTTATACTTCATATAATGGCACAAGTCTCCTGATGAGAATAACCATCATGTTTGCAGAAGTGCTTTCTACATTCCAATTTCATCACACAAAATATTAAAAAGATATACTTGAGGGTCAAGAGTTAACAAAATTCATAAATTTTAAAAACATCATCAAGGACATTAGTGAGTAAAGAACACAATGGCTACCAGTAAAGTTAAGTGCCATTGCCTTGATTCACACCAAGACCAGCAGTTTTACCAACCATTGATTTTGCGCCATCACTGCAAAGGTCAATACAGTGAAAAATGCACATAAAATCTTAGTCTTACTATAAAAATAGTTGGAAATATATGAAAAGCAAATCTCACTACTTTAAAAATAAAGAGGAATTAATCAATATTATCATCAATCTGCTATGTAGTAGAATTACAGGTGATTAACATCTTCCTTCTAGTAATATCCTTTTATCAGTTTTTCAACGATGAACATATACTAATTTATATAATTTATATATGTTTATATACATTTCTCTTCAGATCGTATAAATCTTTCACCTAATTTATGTAAGTTTAAAAGTATGTTTTCTAAATGGCATTATAAAATCAAGTTGCTTTATTTGGGGTCCTTGAAAAAAATGACAACATATTTATACCTCTCATGAAATCTTTTTTTTTTTTTTTTTGAGACAGAGTCTTACTCTGTCACCCAAGCTAGAGTGCAATGGCACAATCTCAGCTCATTGTAACTTCCACCTCCCAGGTTCAAGTAATTCTCCCGGCTCAGCCTCCTGGGTAGCTGGGATTACAAGAGCACGCCACCATGCCCAGCTAATTTTTGTGTTTTTAGTAGAGACGGGGTTTCACCATGTTGTCCAGGTTGGAATTGAACTCCTGACCTCAACTGGTCCACCTGCCTTGACTTCCCAAAGTGCTGGGATTATAGGCGTGAACCACCGCACCCAGCCTCTCATGAATCTTCAACCTAACTTTTGTTCCTGAAACTCAAAAAATAAGAAAGCCCTGATAACTAGTAATAATGAAGGTCTATCTAAAATCCACAAGGCTTTAAGTATCTAGAGTAATTTTTTTATTCTCACCTGCCTAAGAGTATTTTTAAAGTGTACCTGATAAAACCAATACACAGACTATCAAAGTATTTTTTTAAATGCTAATAATACTCATTTAAGCAAGCCTAGCTACAATTCTTCTATTAACTTACTTTTTAAAAGATATAGTGGTACTAACAATATTAAATCAGTAAGTTTAGAAATGATGGTACAATCCTGCCACCTAGAGCTCAAAGAAAATTGTTCACCTCAATTACTTGAAAAAGTAATGTCTGGTCTAAAAGTTAGGGAGGGTGTATCACCTGTTTTTATTCCTCTCTATGAATTTGAGATTTTTTGATTTGAATGAACACTGGTGGATCAACATAAGTCACAATATTACTCAAGTATTAGCCATACTAGACAGTGAAAATCAGTATCAACAAACATTTTATTGTAAAGAGCAAAAATGGAAGTTCACTCACATCCTCAGATTTCTCTACAATTCTAAGCTCTGGAGAATGATTCCTAATCTTAACCTTAGGTACTTTGTAAAACAAGTCAAAGTACAAAAGAAAAAGAAATGATTATTTTCTTCATATACTCTTTTCATAACTTTACTTCCACTAAAATAGCAATGTAAATTGAAGGCTAAAATCCCAAAATTCTACAACCAAAACCAATTTGCCTAAAACAGTGTTAAATTTCAGTTTCACAAGTAACCTTGCACACTTCAACATTCTTACTAGATCATCACTATTAACAAGTGTGCATCAGTGGAGAAAACATTTAAGAGAAAATTGAGGCACTGAAGAGGAAAAGACAAATGAAAGTAAGTACATAAATCAGGGTAAATGCATCCTCTTTTTGGAGATCTATGAAAATACTGGACATTCAAGTATTTCAGATTTTTATCTTTCAAAATATAAAGTGCATATCTCCTTTAACCAGCAATTTGTTTCCAAGAATTAATCCTTTGTCTATATACACATAAATACACAAAGGTATATGTACAACAATGTTTTCTAATGCATTATTCATAACGGTGAAAAGGAAGCAAGGGAAGGAGGAAGAGAGGGAAACAGGAGGAGAAAGAGAGGAAGGCAGAGGAAGGTAGAGAGAAGAAAGGAAGGCCAGAGAAAGGGAGAAAAATCGCACACTCTTTGGAGCAAAAACAAAAGAAAACAATTTCCACTAATAGGGAACAAATGAAAAAACTGCTATACCCACACAACAGAATATAGTGTGTAAAATATACTCAATAAATGTTTGCTACAGATTTCCATAAGTTCTCTACTATGTGGGAAAAAAATAATGATGGCATTAATAACCAGAGAACTTGTCATCAATATTAATCCTTGTTTATTAGGTTTAAGCAAAAATGACTCAACAGGAAAACTGGACTATCCTTTGATTTGCAAATCATGTGTGAAGGAGCTTGCATTTTGATTCCTACTTTTTCATCAGCATCTCTGATGAATAACAACCATATTCAAGAATGGAATGGTAAAAATGACCATCTGGAAATCTCCATTATTACTGAGCTTTCAAAGAGATAAAACTTGAAACTTCCACCTAAAAGCAAACTTTAACCAATTCTATAACCACAGATTAAACACACACACACACACACACTCACTCACTCTCTCTCTCTCTCTCTCTCTCTCACACACCAATGAATGAGTAAAATAAATTACCTTTCCTGTGCTTTGTAAGATGGTGGTTCGTGTCCTCCATACTCTCTCTCTGCTGACAATATCTCGGGTCACATCTACCTCAGCATCCACAAAACTCCTCTGTTTAAGGGCAGTTATGTCATCATCTAGATCAGTCTTGATAGTAGACCTTTTCTTAGCCATAATTTTGGCTTTGATTGCAGCAATTTTTTCCACTGACATAGCTTCAGACAAAGACCTAAAAGCAATTTCTTTTTTAAATTTTCACAGCAAGGATTCCTGGAGTGTATCATAAATATATTTTGTTACATTTATAAATTTCTGGTAAAAACACTTTAATGGCAATAATTAAGGTGTTCTTATCTGTAAGACTGACTTGCTATTCTGCAATTACATAAAATTTTTATAAAGAATTTATGTCAAGATATTACTCTAAGAGCAAATTAGTAATTTCTTAGAAGTATCAATGCAACAAAATTCTTGATGGTTTTTCATCTCTTCCTCGCAAAAATGCAAGACTCATTAATACAGGTGCTTTTCTTTATATTTTTTCTGTCTACAGAAATTACACACACACACACACAGAGGCTACTTTGGAAGGGGGTAAAAAATCCATCCTACAGAAAGTTCAAAGCCTAGGTTTTCCTTGAAATTTATTTCAAGGTCTCAAACTTGTATGCCATAGTGCAGAACATAATTAAGTGACAGGCTTTTATGTCACCAAAAACATACTCCTTTAATCTCTGGAAGATAAAACCGTATTTTATACAGTTTCCTTTTTCTTCCCTTTCCTTCATTTTCAAATAGGCAAAATAGTAAAAAGAGACTACATTTGCAGAAATATAAAAAAAGACTTAACACTGAAAGTATACATGTCATAAAACGATAATCTTAAGCAAAGTGTCTTTTATCATGTAAAATGAGAAAAAGAATTAAAAAGTGTTTGGGTACCTTAATAACACTAGACAAAAATAATACTTTAGTCACAAGATGAAAATCTTGAATTATGTTTACACAAAATCTAGAAAAAGGATGAAAATTCCTGCAGGTTTAAATACAGCAGTATTATATAGTATTCTAATTTTATTTAGATTAGGTATGAAGGTACTTTATAGTAGTGCTCATATGCACCTGGCATTTGATGCATTTTGTGTAATACTGTGCAGATTTCCCTTAAAATCTAAAGCACACCAGCATACCTTAAGCCAAATTCAAATACAGTACTCCTCTGTTTGGCTTTCCACAGTTTCAGTTACCCGCTATCAACCACAGTCCAAAATATTAAATGGAAAATTCCAGAAAGAAATAATTCATAAGTTTTAAACTATGTACCATGCTCAGTAGCCTGTTGAAATCTTGTACTGTCCTGCCTGGGACACTTGCCTGGGATATCTGGACACGAATGATCCTTTTGTCCAATGTATGGATACTGTACACACTACCTGCCCAGTAGTCGCTTAATAGCCATCTTGGTTATCAGATTGACGATGGCAGCATCAAAGTACTTATGTTCAAGTAGCCCTTATTTTACCTAATAATGGCCCCAAAACACAAGAGTAGTGACTAGTGACGCTAGCAATTCGCATATGCCACTCCCAAAGTGCTTCCCTTAAATGACAAGGTGACCTTGGGATTCCTTGGCTGGAGTTCAGGATTATCCGAGGTTTCAGGCACCCACTGGAGGTCTTGGAACATATCCCCGGAAGACGGCTGGGTGACTACTGTACTTCTCCAAACTATAATCAAGCCTCCAATGGACTTTGAAACATAGAACTTCTACTTATAGCCAAGATGAAGTACCAGAGACTAGACTAACCCTCCAGCCTTTAAATAACCAGTCAAAATAACATAAAACAACGGTTTACTAGATGCTAGATATCAAGCAATGAAGGACAGTAATTCCCTAACAAATGAGAAACAAACAAGGTAAGCCCTATGACTGCCTCAGCTTATTGCCTTGTAAGTTTCCAAGACATGGCCTTGGCAGGAGAACCCATAGAGAACTGAGCGGATTCTCAGATAAGAAGAAATGGAGCTGGGATTACAGCAAGACCAAGATAGTTAGAATTCATAGGTCAGAACACCTGAGAAGTGTATAGAAGGTCCCCCTGACATACCCCAGCAGAATTCTGACTAACACAAATATGAAGAAACTAAGGCTGAATAAAGAACCACCCAAGTGGATTAGACAGAATAATGCCTAGTGGTCACACAAGGTGAAGAATTGTGCCTGTTCCACTAGCCAGAATGAAACCTCATGTTCATGAGGTATTACGTACTCAGAATGGTCTTGCCTCAGTGGGTGGGGAATAATTACCCTAGCAGACTAATGTTCAGATAAATTAAAATCAAGACCCAAAACTGTTTCCAAGAGATTTAACTGTGTCCCCAAAAAAGCTAAAGATGATGTGGGGAAATATAACAGTATCTAGCACTCAATGAGGTAAAAAGTATACACAATGTTTGGTGTGCAATCAAAGATCACATGATATGTAATAAAGCAGGAAAATGTAATAAAGCAGACATGTAATAAAGCAGAATGAAGAGAAATATCAATTAATCTCAAGGCACGAAAATAATTACAAGAACTATGTTCTATATTTCAACAAGCTGAATGAAAAGATGAAGTAGGTATGTTTTTTAAAAAACAGCAAAACATACAAAAATTAGCTGGGTGTGGTGGCATATGCCTGTAATCCCAGCCACTCGGGAGGCTGAGGCAGGAGAATCGCTTGAACCCGGGAGGCGGAAGTTGCAGTGAGCCGAGATCACGCCATTGCACTCCAGCCTGGGTCACAAGAGCCGAACTCCATCTCAAAAAAAAAAGAGCAAAACAAACTTGAGATGAAAACTACAACGTTGGAGACTAAACATGCATGGGATTACAGAAAAAAAAAATTAAGTTGAAAACACAACAGAAACTCCCCAAAAAGAACTCAAAAAAGACTATAACAGACAGAAAATGAATTCAAAAAAAGAAAAGAACGTAAGTGAACTGTCAAAGAAAAAAATATTAAAGTTCACCCAGGCGCAGTGGCTCACGCCTGTAATCCCAGCACTTTGGGAGGCCAAGGCGGGTGGATCACGAGTTCAGGAGTTTGAGACCAGCCTGGCCAACATGGTGAAAACATCGTCTCTACTAATAAAGTTGCTGGGCATTGTGGCAGGCATCTGTAATCCCAGCTACTCGGGAGGCTGAGGCAGGAGAATCGCTTGAAACCAGAAGGTGAAGGTTGCAGTGAGTCAATATCGCACCACTGCACTCTAGCCTGGGCGAAAGAGCGAAAATCTGCCGCCAAAAAAAAAAAACAAAAAACAAAACTTAAAGTTCAATACAACAGAAACGATCCAAAAATAATTCAAAAAAGAATATAAACAGACAGAAAAGAATCCAAAAAAAGAAAAAAACATAAGTGAGCTGTCAAACAACTTCAAGTAGAGTTTGAGTAGTCAGAATCCAGAAAAATGAAAACATTTTTAAAAAGTGAAGAAACTATGCCCATCCATTTATGTACTGTCTATGGCTGCTTTCCCTACACCACATAAGCTCAGTAGTTTCAAGAGACCATATTACCTTCAAAGCTAAAAATATTTAACATGTGGCACTTTCCAGAAAAAGTTTGCTGACCTCTGGTGTACATTATCAATAAGAGATAACATAAAATGAATTTCTCAGCTTATAAAGCAATTTTTAAAAAAAAAGACCAACATGGTAATAGAATCAAGAAGACTTTTCAAAAAGCATGATAAACACATTAACTTCCAATCCCCACACATACTCTTATGAACTAAGAGCATAGAGGCATACAATGAATTCAAGTGGTAAACATAAATGTGGAGAGCATTTTAATATTCCTTTTCCTTATACCTTTACATATATCTAAACTACCTACTTTCTACTTAAAAACAATTCTTACCTAATCTGTTCGGTCTGTACAATCCCTTCTTTGTGACCCTCCAAACGGGCAGCCAATCTCTCTTTATCAAGGCGCACACACTCTTCATCCTGGAAATAACCACTGGTTAATGCATTTTAAATTTTTATTTAACTTTTGAGAAGAAAAAACACTACATATAACTTTTCCTTACCAAATTTCCTACCTCTACAATTCTAGGTATCAGTGTCTTTAGGCCAACTTCAAAACTAAAACTTTTAGCTACATAAAGATAGTAACAATAAATATACGTTGAATCTTAAGACTGGAATCATCTAATAGCTTAAGAAAAACTTGCTTAGCCACTTTTTTCTTTATGATTAAGTGTTCTTCCCATATCATAGCTAATTTTCTTCAGAAAGACACAACAAATAAATTCATCTTTTTGAGAAAGTTAATAACCAAATGTTATGACAAGCCTTCACCAAAGTCAAAAATTTCATTTTGGCATCTCCATTTTTTTTTCCTCTGTTGCTACAGGTCCTGAATCCATTAGCACTAATCAAAATGCTTTAAAGGAAAACCTTAAAGATTTTCAAAGGATGATCCTTAGAACGTTAGAAACTTCCAACTAAATGCCTCATGGGCCACTTCAAGATCTTGTCTGAAATTCAACCCTGGTAGCTCAGCTTTTATCTAATTCACATATTATGATGTCAAGTAAAATTTAATCTGAAAAGCAACTGGTTAAAAACAAAACAAAATCTGGTAACCCTGATCTAGTTTAATGTTCACATTCAACAAATAACAAAACTGAGGACCAGAGTCAATGACTATGACTAACAGAATACAAAACTGTATAAAAAGCATCAGCATACTCCAGAGATCCAAAAAGGTGTTGGGCTCCAATTCATGTCCTATTATGAATCTACCATGTAAAAATCTTAAAATGAATACATCGGCTGAAATAAATGCAAAAATATTTTGGCAAATGCATCCAACTTTTTCCACACGCAATAAAGATATAGCCCAGATTACTCCAATTCCTCACAAAACTACTAATTTTAAAGACAACTGCGGCCTAGATTTTTATCAAATCAGAAACTCTGCCCTCAGTTTCTCTTTCCTAGTACAGTTCCTTACAGGTCCTCAAAAGACATACACTGAACTGAAAACAAATGCTGAAAACCGTAGCTGTTTATGTAACACATTTCAACCCTACAAATGATTTGAAAAAAAAAATGTATTATGCCATTTTCTGCTGATTTTTTAAGTTACCGGAATCCCAGGAAACTAGGACTTCTGCCACGTTGAATTTTTTCAAACAGACTGTGGTGTTCAGTTTGTTTCAAATAAATGGCATCCCTTGAGCTGGGTGCAGTGGCTCACGGCAGTAATCCCAGCACTTTGGGAGGCCGAGGTGGGCAGATTGCTTGAGGCCAGGAATTTGAGATCAAATAAATGGTATCCCTAAATTCATACACACTTTTTAACCACAGGTCACAATCTCCTTTCATATAAGGGAAAATATTCAGTTTTACTACCACAAAATTTATACCCAGTATAGTGGAATGCCTAGAAACCAGACTGCCAAGGTTCCAACTGGTTCTTCAAACCTCAGCAATTCACTTACTCTGTCTGAGCCTATTCGCTCATAGATGACATGCATGGTTCTACCAACTTAATGAGTTCCAGGAGTACTATGCATATCATCTATGAGCAAATAAGATTACATGAGTTAATACATATAAAGTACTTAGAATAACACATAGCATAGAGCAGTAACAATGAATCAATTATCATTCTCTTAAAAAATATCAGATCCATGTCTCAGAATATCCTTAATTAAAATTACATTAAAGTAGTAGGTACTTCGTGTTCGCAGCTCTGAGCAGTAAAGCAAGCACCCATAACACATTGTTTCAAAGGTAGGCAAACTACATCCCAAAGACCAAGTCTTGCCCGCCATCTGTTTTCTGAAGTTTTTTATAGAAACATAGCCACATCTGTTCATTTATGTATTGTCTATGAGTGCTTTCACACTACAATATTAAATAGTTGCAACATAAACTATATGGCCCATAAAGCTTAAAATATTTACTATCTGGCCTTTCATAAAGAAAGTCTCTATTTTAAAAACCCTGTCTCTATTTGGAAAAAAAAAAAAATTAGCCAGGCATGGTGGCAGGCACCTGCATTCCCAACTACTCGGAGGCTGAGGTGGGGGGGGATCACTCGAGCCCCGGAGGTTGAGGCTACAGTAAGCTATGATTACACCACTGGACTCCAGCCCGGGTGACAGAGAAAGATTTTGCCTTAAAAAAAAAAAAAAAAAAAAAAAGAAAGGAAAAAGAATTCTGACCCTTGAGCCAATGTTCTTCAATAAGAATATAAAAGCAAAGAAAATAAAATGATTTGTCCATCACATAGCTTGCATGTGTGAAAGCTTAAAACTATAGCTTGAGTTACTTATTAATCAATTGTTCTTCCTACCACAAAAATTTTTCCCAGAAAAACAGCTTCTCAAGTTACTGCAATCAAAGAACCTTTGTTACTACAGAATCCCAATTTCAATAAGAATATAAATAAAATTGTTTAAAATAAAGTTTCTTTACCTCAATTCGTGGTTTCTTTGCTTCTGCTAAAACTTCATCTGCAGCTCGTTTGACTATAAAAGAAAGAGAATTTATTTATTATTAATAATAAATAAATGTGTAGTTTGGAATAGGTTTCTGAAAGTTCAATATAAACATGCAACAAGACATACCTTGAGTAGATCGCTGAAGACCTATTTCTAAGGGAGCGCTTCTGTCTATACTTGCCGATGTTGCTGAAGATATAAAAAGATTCATGTAAGGATTACTATTTCAACATATATATTGGGTATTATTACAAGTGAAAGGCTTTAAGTTTTTCATATACTTCTATATGGTGATTTTCTCTCAGTAAAAAGTTCAGTTTTAAAACAGCTCTGCAAAAACATTTTATTAAAAGACTAATCTATACTACAAAGTCTCTAAGAGGACAAACTATTTTTAACAATTCAGCTTACAAATTACTGAGATGATCTGACTGAAATTAGTTGCTTCAAAGTATATGCTCCAACATCATAACATTGATACCTAAAAAGGTATCTCTAAACATAAATAAGTACATACATAAACATATATACACAAACATATATATGGGCAAGATTTTCTTAAAGTTAGCATTCACCCTAAACATGCAATTTTCATTTATTCACAACTGGTAAAAACTAAATTACTTTTAAAATTAAATTAATTTTTGAATGGCTCAACAAAAAGGGGTATACCTGTCCCTATTCACCTAGTTCCCACCACCCTATGCAGCCAACTAGTCTCTTACATATCCTTCTAGAATTTCTTTCTGTAGATAGAATACAAAATTATTTTTACCCTTTTTAATACAAAAGGTGACATACTAAACATACTGCTCTGAACCCTGTTTTCTTTTTTACCTAACAACTTATCTCCCATATCCCTCTATATCAGTAAGTAGAGCATTTTCTTAACTTTTTCTTGCGATGGAGTCTCGCTCTGACACCCAGGCTGGAGTGCAGTGGCGATCTCGGCTCATTGCAAGCTCCGCCTCCCACGTTCACGCCATTCTCCTGCCTCAGCCTCCAGAGTAGCTGGGACTACAGGCACATGCCACCGCGCCCGGCTAATTTTTTGGTATTTTTAGTAAAGACGGGGTTGCACCGTGTTAGCCAGAATGGTCTCCATCTCCTGACCCTGTGATCCACCCACCTCGGCCTCCCCAAGTGCTGGGATTACAGGCGTGAGCCACTGCGTCAGGCCCTCCTTAACTCTTTTTTTATAGTTACTGAGTACTCTACTGTATGGCCTAACTACAATTTATTTAACTAGGTCCCTGTTGACGAGCTGTTCAATTTTAGTCTTCTGTCATTACAAACAATGGCACAATAATATATTAATACAAAGTCATGTCATATATTTTCATAAATATATAAATGTACATATATATACACATATATATACACGTGTGTATATATATACACACACACACACATATATATAATGGCAAGATTTTTTTAAAGTTAGCATGCACCAGCAGGGCATGGTGGCTCACGCCTGTAATCTCAGCACTTTGGGAGGCTGAGGCAGGTGGATCACGAGGTCAGGAGATCGAGACCATCCTGGCTAACACCGTAAAATCCTGTCTCTACTAAAAAAATACAAAAAATTAGCTGGGTGTGGCGGTGGGCGCCTGTAGTCCCAGCTACTTGGGAGGCTGAGGCAGGAGAATGGCATGAACCTGGGAGGCAGAGCTTGCAGTGAGCTGAGATTGCGCCACTGCACTCCAGCCTGGGCAACAGAGCGAGACTCCGTCCCAAAAAAAATAAAAAATAAAAATAAATAAAATAAAGTTAGCATTCGCCCTACACGTGTAATTTTTAGTTATTCACAACTGGTAAAAAAAAAAAAAAAAAAAAAGCTAAACAAAATACACCTCTAGGATAAAGTTCCAGACACAGGATTTATTTCTATGTTAAATTTGTAATGTTAGACTGCTGCCAATTCTTCAGTGGGAGTGTAGGGGTATACTGACTAACATTATAACCAACAATATAGTAGAATATCTGTTTTCTCACTGCTCCACCAGACCACATTATCAAATTTATAGATTTTTGTCTATCAGTTAAAAAAAAAAAATCCTATCTCTGTATAGTTTAAATTTGCAATTCTCTTACTATAAATGAAATTAAGCATTTTTCATGATTTTATCACCTTTTCTGTGAATTTATGACATAATCCATAGAGTGGTTTTTTATGCATAAAGTTCTAAGACCCTTCATATATTAGTGAGATTAGCCCTTTATCTGTGATGAGTTGAAATATTAATATATTTTCCCAGTTTGTCATGTCTTTTTTTTATAGTACAGAACTTTACTACTTTTATCAGCTTGTAACTGAATAACCCCACCTTTCTCCCATTGATCTGACATGTCTCTTTACTAACATGTTAAATTCACATACAGATTTCTCACCTAACAGATAAAGTTGTTTTATTAGTGTATCTATTCATTTAGGTTTTTTTTTAATTATCACGGTTTTAAGTTCTCTAGAATGACTGGCCTTTTCTCAATGCTCTTCTACAAATTTTTAGGATGCTTACTTTTGCCAATGAACTTTAGAATTACCTTGTCTAGTTCTACTCCTATCTCAAGAAAAACCAGAGATTCTTACTGAGACCATGTTAAATGTATAAATTAAGAACTAACGTCTTTACCTGTTAGTCTTCCTAAGAATACAGTCTTAATATTTGCTCAACCTTTTCATTAAACTACTAAATTAACAGTCGTTAAAAAGTAGCAAAGCAATATGCTTAGTGACTAAATTTGTCCTATAGAAACTACAGGAAATGACATAGATGGATACAGGGCAACTCTACTTTTCATTCTAAAAAGAAAAACCATTTGCTCTGAAGCGCTTCCCCAAAACTAGCCTATTTATCAGGCTCGCCTGTGACGCTTAAGAATAGAGAATCTTAGACTTTATACCACATCTTCTGAGGCCAAAAACAAACAAACACACACACACGATTTTCAAACCATATGATTCTCATCATTTAAAAAGTTAGAGAAACATTGCTCCAAAGAATCAAATTTGATTTGATTTAAAAAAAAAAAAAAAAAATGGCTGGGCGCAGTGGCTCATGCTTGCAATCTCAACACTTTGGGAGGCCAAGGAAGGAGGACTGCTTGAGTCCAAGAGTTCAAGACCAGCCTGAACAATGTAGTGAGACCCCATCTCTGAAAGAAAAATAAAAATAAAAAAGTTTCTTCTATCCTTCCCAACTCTATCCTCTTCACAGAATTGAGACTCCCTCTTCAATACTGCTGGGTTCTAAACTTTTGTGTTTGTCTCCCTTGCATGACAGTAAGCATGTTTACATGTTTAAGACAGGGATTTGGCATTTTGCACAATGTATAATGCCTTTAAGAATAAGCATGTAATAAGTCCTTATTGAATGAGGATAGCATAGGAAGAAAGCATTCCTAACGATGATCTTTCCATTATACACAGGATTCTCTGTGGAAATCAATCTTACTGCTTAAAGCCATGCACGACAAGACAGGTATTAATGATACTTAAAGGTACTACACTCCACACTCGGCAAAGTAAGACCCAATAGTTCTATTATACCAACGTATTTGTACTCTGTAAGAGAGTAAATTAATAATTATTCAATTACTAAGAACCTACCATGCACCACTGTTCTAAATGCTGGGTATTTAACAAGACAAATGACTGCCTGTCCCCTTAGAATTTACCTTCTAATAGGAAAGACAGACACTATGTACATAAACAGACATATAATTTCAGGTCCATGTACCAGATTTGATGAAAAATAAATCAGGATGGCACTACATAAAAACCACAGAAGAGATAAAGAGATACTATATTTTTTAGTAGTCAGAGAAGTCTTCTCTGATGGAACAACATTTGGAAAAACACTTGAGCACAGATCTAAAAGAAATAGTAAGGAAGTGAACCATGTGATAATGCAGAGAACAAGAACTCAAGACAGAAGAGAAAGTGCAAAGGCGCTAAGATTGGCATAGCTAAAAGATAAAAAAGAGTGACTGTTATGAGCAAAGGAAGACTGGTAGAAGATGAAGTCACAGTGATTTAGGCAGAGGCAAAATCACTGCCAGGGTAACAAGTATGAGTTTTATTCTAAGAGTGATGGGAAGCCACAGGTGAGTGACACAATCAAGTTTATATACTTTTTCAAAAGCAGGACACTCTTTACTGCTAAGACTACACTATAGGGAAAAAAGAGTGGGGACCTGTGAGGAAGCTATACAATAATCTAAAAAGGAAGGATGAAATAGGGTGGGTAGAATGGTAAGAAACTGTCATACTTTTAAAGAGAGAAAAAAACAACTTGCTGATAGAATGGAAGTGAGATGTGACAAAGATTTCACCAGAGTTCTGGCCTAAGCAACTGCAGGAAGAGGGTACCACTACCCCTTACTAAAGTGGGAACACTGAGGAAAGAGCAAGACTTGTTTTTGTTCTGTGTGAGGGCAGAAGGGAAAGAGGGAATCAGGCATTCCAGTTTCAATATGTTAAATTGCAGATGCCTATTCAACAACCAAGGAAACATGTTCACAGTAAATTTATAAATCTAGTGCCCTGGAAGAAGTCAATGCTGAAAAAACCTTGGAATTTTATCAGCTTATATATGATATCTAAGGCATAAAACAGAAAGAGATCACCTAGAGAATAAGGGTAAAAGAAAAGAGAAAAAAAAGATCAAGTCTTGGAAACTTCAAGAATTAGAGGTCAGGTACAGAGGTAACCAAAATAAACTGAGAGGGGAACAATGACTAGAAAGAGAACCAAGAGTCTGGTGTTCCAAATGCCAAATGAAGAAAGGCTTGCAAAAATGAGTGGTCAACAGTATCAAATGCTGTTGAGAGGTCAAGTATGGTACAAGAGACCAAAGGATGTAGCAATTCTTAAATCAGTGTTGACCTTACAAGGAGTGATTTTAGTGGGATGGTAAGGATGAAGGCCAGACTAGAGTGGCTTCAAGAAAGAAACAAAAGTTAAGAAGAAGCAGTGATATCACACGACCCCTTGCAAAGAATTTTACCGTATCAGGGAGAAGATAAACGAAGCAGTAAACAGTAGGAATATGGGATCAAAAACATTTTTAAACATGAAATCTTACTGTAGGTATTCTAAAAGGGAATGATCTAGAAAAAGTAGAAAACTGATGATGTAAGAGAGAAACAACTTACGAAGACAAAGTCTTTGAGACTGTGAAAGGAGATGGAATCCACACACAAGGAAGGGGTGACTGGCCTTAAGAGCAAAGACAGTGCATTCACTGTATAAAAAAGAGCACATGGACAAAAATGAAGGTAGGTTAATTTTTTAGTGGAAATACAAATTCTCTTCACACTAATCATTATTTCATAGGGGAAAAAAGAAATAATGTCTGTTTAAGAGTGGGAACAATTTAAAAAGTACTCACACGCTTCACCATTGAGATATCCAAGTAGATCTTTTCGATCAGGTCTTCTAACCACAGGAATATTTTCAGTCTAAAGCCAAAATTTTAAATGAGATATGAAATGAATAATAATGATACACAACTTAATAAATACTAACACGTAATGTCTGAATTTTATTCCAACATATCTTGATAAAATATATTTTAAATCACATTTGTAAAAAATGACTAGGCTAAAAGAACCTAATAAAAATCCTGAAAATTTATTAAACATGTTACTTTTAATAATTTTCTTACAACTTGATAAATATCAACATGCAATGTCTGAATTTTATTTCAACATATCTTGATAAAATATATTTTAAATCACATTTGTAAAAAATGACTAGGCTAAAAGAACCTAATAAGAATCCTGAAAATTTATTAAACATGTTACTTTTAATAATTTTCTTGGCTGGATGCAGTGGCTCACACCTGTAATCCCAGCACTGTGGGAGGCAGAGGCAGGCGGATCACTTTAGGTCAAGAGCTCGAGACCAGCCTGGCCAACATGGTGAAACACCATCTCTACTAAAAATACAAAAATTAGGCCAGGCGCAGAGGCTCACGCCTGTAATTCCAGCACTTTGGGAGGTCGAGGCGAGTGGAAAAACGAGGCGAGGAGTTCAAGCCCAGCCTGAGTAAGATGGTAAAACCCCATCTCTACTAAAACTACAAAAATTAGCCAGGCATGGTGGCGGGCACCTGTAGTCCCAGCTATTCAGGAGGCTGAGGCAGGAGAATCGCTTGAATCTGGGCAGCGGAGGTTGCAGTGAGCTGAGATCATGCCACTGTACTCCAGTCTGGGTGACAGAGTGAAACACTGTCTCAAAAAAAAAAACAAAAAAAAACACAAAAATTAGCCAGGCGTGATGGCAGGCACCTATAATCCCAGCTACTTGGGAGACTGAGGCAAGACCCAGTCTCAAACACAAACAAACAGTGCAAGAAAAATTGGTAGCTGAGAGATTCTAGTGTAAATCCCTTGTCATTTTATATGTGTAATAATGAAGTAACAACAAGAACCTTTAGTATCTTTGACCAATGAGCTTATATTGAATACTTCCTATATTTCACTGCACCGAACATTCTGCTCTGACTCCTCAATGATTTAGATAAACTATTTAATCACTTAAAAATGAACCTTTTATTTTAAAAAAGTCAAGCTAAATTTTAGTTTCTCCTTATGAGTTCAAAAGTTTGAGTGCAGAGTTTTCTTCTGCTTGTATTCTTTTAAACCAGCCTAGGCCAGGCATGGTGGTTCATACCTGTAATCCTGACACTCTGGGAGGTCAAGGTGGGTTGACTGCTGGAGCCCAGGAGTTAGAGACCAGCCTGAGCAACATGGAGAAACTCCATCTCTACAAAAATATAAGTTAGCCAGGCATGGTGGCAAGGGCCTGCAGTCCCAGCTATAGTCCCAGCTACTCAGGAGGCTGAAGCAGGAAGACAGCTTGAGCCCGGGAGGGCAAGGCTGTGGCAAGCCAAGATCTTGCCACTGCACTCCAGTCTGGGTGACAGAGCAAGACTCTGTCTCAAAAAAAAATAAAAAATAAAAATAAACCAGTCTACATGGAACATCATAAACAGCTAAAAGATTTGGGTTAATTTTAAGTTACTGTTTCTAAGTCTAATAACTTACGTCATCATTTGGTCACTATTGAGTTATGTACACATTACAGTCCACTGAAAGAGATTACATCTACTCACACTAAAGTAGGAGCTAAGGATCAGGAATATCTGTTTTAAGAGTGGTCTGCTCAGCCGGACGCGGTGGCTCACATGGATCACGCCTGTAATCCCAGCACTTTGGGAGGTCGAGGCAGGCGGATCAGGAGGTCAGGAGATCAAGACCATCCTGGCTAGCATGGTGAAACCCCGTCTCTACTAAAAATACAAAAAATCAGCCAGGCATGGTGGGGTGTGCCTGTAATTCCAGCCACTTGGGAGGCTGAGGCAGGAGAAACCCTTGAACCCAGAAGGCGGAGGTTGCAGTGAGCCGAGATCACGCCACTGCACTCCAGTCTGAGTGACAGAGCAAGACTCCATCTCGGGGGGGGGGGGGGGGGGGGAGTGGTCTGTGCACAGAAAACAGCAAATAACACCAAGTAATTAGGAAACAAAAATCTCAACTTCACAGAACTTTGGAATTTTAGAATCCTACTCTTTCAATCTGGCAAATACTTAAGAAAAATAAGAATTAAATCTTAAGCAACTGAGGGTCCCAAGGTCCACAGAAACAATTACAGCTATCAGTTATACGTACAACCATTTCCCAAAAACAGAATCTATAAATCTAAGCCAACTATCTGAATCTTTCTTATACTAAAATGAATGAGTATATCCAACACAACACTGTAAGAACTATGTAATTTAGTTTTTAAAGATCTGAGTTAAAATAACCTTAAAGAGGCAGCTGGTGCTATTTTTTCCCATTATTTCCCAAGTAGTCCCGCTCTAACTTTATTTTTTTTAATATGTAACATAAATACGTATTTCTTGCTCAGGAAAGCAGAAGTCTTATGGTTTAATACAAAGCCCACTAAATGACGGGATACTTTCTCAACTGCTATACACACACACACACACACACACACACACATTTTTTCCCTGAGACAGAGTCTTGCTCTATCACCCAGGATAGATGCATTGGTGTAATCATGGCTTACTGCAGCCTCGACCTCCTGGGCCCAGTGATCCTCCCACCTCAGCCCCTTGTGTAGTTAGCTGGGAGTATAGGTGCACACTACCACGCCTGACTAACTTTTTTTTATTTTTTGTTTTGACAAAGTTTCCCTATGCCGCCCAGGTTGGTCTTGAACTCCTGAGCTCAAGTGATCCTCCCACCTCAGCCTCCCAAAGTGCTGGGACTATAGGCATGCACCACCACACCCGGCTTTTAGTTGCTTCAAATAACAAGTTATTGTTTGAAAGATACATAAGCCAGAAACCTTAACTATTTCTGGTTGGGAGCGAGGTTAGCGTTATAAAAGTTAAGTTTCACACAGCTTAATGTGACCCAGCAACTGTGTTAGGTAACTCAAAAAGCAGCTCCAGTGATGACACACACAATGATGTTTAAAAAAATTGTTTTAAGAACTATAAGAAAAGTTTAAGAAAATTGTTTTAAGAAATATAAGAAATGGGAAAAAGCAGTTATTTATAAATACATTTCATACTTAATTTTAAGTATATACTTGTAAGTTAGCAAAAGGAACAAATATTAAAAGCAGACTTTTAATTATTTCAATTATATCTTCAAAAAAATTTTATGTTCAACTCTACCAAAAATAATCTGAGGGAAAAGCTCATTTAAAAAAATTAAATATCTTTTAAGCCATTTTATGTGGGCATTATAGCACTTTTCCATGTCATACAGCTATCCTATCCAAATAAATCTGAATCTTATTTACTTATCAATTATAATATACTGCTATAATTTAGGTCTTAATGATACTTCCCTACAGATGAAGAATCTCATCATCATAGTTTATGAAATCGGTTCTTTTCAAGTTGTTTCCAAAGATTTCCTCTGAGTAATAAATTTTCAAACACTGAGAAAGCAAGCAAAACTAAAAACAAATGAACTTCTCCAGAGTATTAAAACAGCTGCACAAAACTGATTAAGAAAGAATTTTTTTAAATGTCTGCTAATCTTGATCCTTACAACCAAAAAAAAGTTTTCTTGAGATTAAATAAGAGTTCTGAAGTAACAGGGTCCTTCCACACACTTAAAAGTTTTTCTAAACATCTCTATAAATACCTTTAGCATTTTGAGTTTTTTTTTTCTTGAGATGGCATCTCACTATGTTGCCCAGGCTGGTCTTGATCTCCTAGGCTCAAGCAACCCTACCACCTTAGAGTCCCAAGCAGGTGGGATTACCAATGTGCACTAAGAAGCCTGGCTCTAAAAATCCCTTTAAAACTTCCTTTGTTATAAACATTACCCACACTTTACATGAAAAAATATCACAGATTAAAAAGTCTGTGTAAATCACACAGTAGCCTAGTTTTGACTCTCCTGGAGACATTCATACAAACCTTTCATTCTTTTGATTTGAAACCCATGAAGGAAGCTATCCATTCCAAATGATACCTACTACCATGAAGCCAAAAAAAAAAAAAAAAAAAAGTGTTAATACAAAAACTAGTCCGACATGGTAGGCCATGCCTGTATTCCCAGTTTCTCAGGAGACTGAGGTAGGAGGCTGGCTTGAGCCCGAGAAGGGGAGGGTGCAGTAAGCCGAGATCACACCAATGCACTCCAGCTTAGGCAACAGAGCCAGACCCTATCTCAAAAAAAAAAAAAAAAAAAAGTATTAAAATGAATTATTGGCCAGGCACAGTGATTCATGCCAGTAATTCGAGCACTTTGGGAGGCTGAGGCAGAAGGATCCACTGAGGCTAGGAGTTCAAGACCAGCCTATGCCACACAGCAAGACCTCCTCATCTTTAAGAACAAAAAAAAAAAAAATTAGCCAGATATGGTGGTACAGGCCTGTAGTCCTGGCTACTTGAAGGCTGAGGTGGGAAGATCACTTGAGCCCAGCAGTTCAAGGCTGCAACGAGCTATGATCACACCACTGTACTCTAGCCTGGGCAACAGGGTTAGACCCCATCTCTTAAATAAATAAAAATAAAACTGATAAATAAATAGATAAGTAAAATGAATTCTACTTACAGCTGCACGTCGGACATAAACAGGATGAGAAAGGTGCACATTATTAAGTAGAAATAAAATGGAATCCAATGTGTAGTACTCTCTGGGTTGGCCTTCCTTTCCAGTCCTGAAATAATTAAGGCAAGGATTTTACTCACAACTCTAATTCAACTCTTCAGGCTGGATTCATTTATCTACACAACTTTGCTATCTAACAATGAGTTTAACATAGCTACCAAAAAAAGTATAAAATCTAATAATGAATAGACTGTCATGATCACAAAAGAAACACAAAGGAAGGCAATGACAAAAAGCAAGAAGTAGGGAAAATACAAAAAATTCATACTCTAAGGTACTACACACTTTTTAGAATCAGGCCCAAATTAGGCTCTGGGCTTTATCAATAGAGAAATCTAACCAGATCCATATTGAAGAGGATCCATAAGAGAAAACAAACTGCTTAGAAGAAGCACAATTATCACTGGAGCTAAATGTGAAAGAAATTTATCCTATGGCTCTTGCTAAATAAGATATGGCTGAACAACATCCTTCACATTCTTACAGTAAACACAACACAGAATTTCGGGGGTATAACTGTTGGTGCATCCCTCAAATTAGACCAGTAATGTAAAACCAAAATGCTATTCTATCTGTGATAAAACAATGGAGTCTACTAACGGTGCAAGATCTCTAACGCAGGTACCAATATTACCGCATTCCAATCCTACCCTTCCTACTACATTTGCCCCTTCTGTATCTTTGAATCCGTCTGCATATGGCCCACTATAATCAGCCCTAAACCTACTTTTCTAGCTTCTAGTCCCACTTTTCCTCTAAACCAATGCATTTCAAACCACACACCACTATCAATTATTGTACTATGAAACCCAATAAACAGTTAACAACCATATTTTTTCTATTTTCAGAATAGAAGAGAAAAATAATAAAATGCACTGCATGCAATAAAAAGAGTAAGCATTGTTTTGTGTTTTATATGTGTATATATTTACGTGTGTATGTGCACATATAGAAAATAAAAATAATTTCTTGGTGTGATTCACTGTTGAAAAAGTTTAAAATCTACTGTACTAAGCATTCCTTTTACACTGGCTTCACTGAATTGCTGTCAACACATTTACTTTCCAGTTCTTTATGCCTTTAAGCATACAGTTCACTCATCTTGGAAGACTTAACCCATCATTTCACCCAGAAAATTTCTATCTATTCTTTAAAGCTTATCTGTTTGTTCATTCAATCATTCAAGAAAACTTTGTTGGACGTGAACTTGCCAAAGACAATTCTATGGAACTTTCCCTAAATAACTCCAACTAGAAATGACTGCTGTCTTCACAAACTATTATAGAAATCATTTCACATCAACTTATCTGTTTAATCTCCTCTATTCAGACTAAATTAACCTCCTTTGAGGTAGAAATCAGAGTCTTAGGAATTTTTTTAATCCTCAGATTGCACCACTTCTCACCCTAGGTTCTCCTTAAGCCATTGTTTAAAGAAAAAAAAATTCATTAAAAATCCAACCAAATGTGATTCTATCTATGCAAATCATTTGAAAGGGTAAAACACCAGAAACTCAGAATGTCATTTGATCAACATTTTATAAAGCTAATTAAACCATAAGACAAAAAAAAATTTAAAACCAACCAACAGGCAGGGCGCGGTGGCTCACGCCTGTAATCCCAGCACTTTGGGAAGCAGAGGCGGGCAGATCATTTAAGGTCAGGAGTTCGAGACCCGCCTGACCAACATGGTGAAACCACATCTCCACTAAAATACAAAAATTAGCAGGGCATAGTGGCGGGGGCCTGTAATCTCAGCTACTCAGGAGGCTGAGGTAAGAGAATCGCCTGAACCCAGGAGGCAGAGGTTGCAGTGAGCCAAGATCACACCACTGCACTCCAGCTTGGGCGACGGAGCGAGTCTCCCTCTCAAAACTAAATAAATAAATAAATGCCAACCAACAAACTAAATTTCCCTAGTTTTTCATCGACTCTTCACAAAGCTTCCATTCAAAGAAACAAAATGAGTAGGGAAGTTCTAGCTCAAGGTTCTAATTCTACAAGCGACGCACCAATGACAGTGACATCATTAAAAAGGCCCCTAATGACTGTTAGATCCGTCTCTATAAGTTTTCCTGAATGACTTAAACTGATAAAACTTCACATGGACCAACATTCCAAAACATTTCCCTTTAAAATACACTTTCGAAAATCACACGCACCATCTATTTCTTAGATCTGAAAAGCCCACTCATTTCACCAACTCCTGAAGACCTCTTTAACACAAACTTTAGCGACTTTTCCCAATTCACCAAATTTCTTTCCGGTCCTAACTTTAGAGTTGATTCCCTTCTCTCTTCTACAGGAATAACCCCCTCCCCAACAACGAAAGGAGATGAAATAAACTAGGAGTTGCAAGGACCAGAGGAGCAGCCTGGAAGAGAGAAAAAATAAAGAACAAAAAGAGGCGACTATGGCACCAGACGGTGTGCTCCTTTGTGCACCTATGTTCAGGTATCCTTGTGCACTAGCCCCACACTTAGCTGGTACACGATACCTACTGGTAAAAATTAACTGTAAAAGTCAAAAACTCCCACAGTACCTTTCCTTTGGGCTTCTCAAAAATTTAAAGGGATGAACTGCTCTAGAGCTCCGCCCCTTCTTTCCTTACCCTAAAAGTGCAACTTCTGCTCTAGAGAGAAACTTTCTTCTCCCCGAACACCCGTTTTATCCCATCCCCAGGGGAAACGGGGGGGAGGGGTTAAGAAAGAGGTCGCCTGGGGGCGCCCAACTCTGCCCTGCCACCCCTGGCACAGCCATGCCGGACTTACCCCCAAACTACATAGTTGGTCTTCACATTCTTGGGCCAGGAGAACTCCCCGAAGATCACTTCGTCTCCCTTCACCACAATCTCCTTCTTCTGGATGTTGTACTGTCGCAAGACGCTAAGCACGTCCGCCATCTTCCCCCCCCCTCGCCTCCGCCGGCCCGGGGCGCCGCCGCTGCCGCCGCGCCTGCCTCCTTCTTCCCCTGTCGCCTCGCCCTCTTCCTCCTCCTCCTTCGCCGCCGCGACGAACCAACAGCAGCAGCACTAACAGCCGTCCTCGCCTACGACAGCAGCAGGGGCAGTAGCCACCCAGGCCGCCGAGGACCCCGCGCTCTAAGGCAAGGCCCCGCCGCCGGCTGCCCGCGGAGAACGCCTGACTGCGCCCCTCCAGCGCGGCACGTCTGCCGCCAGGGGGAGCCGCGATGGCCTGGAAAAGTGCCCCTCCCAGACTTCAACTCGGCAAGGAGCCCACTCACTCGCTGAAACGCTGAGCGCTAGGGCACCGCGCCCACGTACGGCGCACGTACGGGGAACTTTGTCGGGCGCGCGCCCGCGCGGAGCACGTACCCAGTCCCCCGCGGCGCGCACCCAGCGGCGACAGGTGTGCGCGTACCTGAGCAGTGGGTCAGCATTTCCATCCGCAGCACGTGCCCTGAGTATTTAACGACCTGCCTCGGGTGCGACCAGAGGCTCCTGGGCCCCTGCTTTGGCCGGGATGGAATTTGGCAAGGATTTGTGGAACACTAGAATCACCTTCCTATCTAGATGGGACCCAGGCCTAGCCAAAGACCTCTAGGACTTAGTGATCCGGAGAAGCCCTTTTGAAAGGATGGGGGTCTTGGGGTTGGGGTTTGGGTTGTTTGCCTTTGATGTGGAAAAGAACGAGTTTTGGTTTTTTGTTGGTTTTGAGTGGAAAAGACCGAGTCCAGCAAAAAAAAAAAAAAAAAAAAAAAAAAAAAAAAAAAACGGTTCTGGGTACTGCTGTTTGTTACTTGTTGTTTGACCTTGGTCAAGTTACATAGCTTTTCACAGCATCAATTGGTTAATGAAGAAAATGGGGTTAATACGAAGATAAGGTAAACGCGCCTAGCACGTCAATAAAATATCCTAAATGTTGGATCCTCCCTCTTCATTCTTTGGATGATGACTTTTTCCATCGTGATCCCTTCTCCCCACCAATCCCGAAGGGCTATATTCAAAAGGCTCTGTTCCAAGATGTAAATGGGAAAGTTGCTCTAACAGAAACTCCAAACGGTCCAATTTAGAACACTTCCAGACTACCCAATTTTTCTAATGGAACTCAGAAGGCTCAGTGGTGTCCTTGACATGCATTTTGAGACGGTTAAGATAAATCAATATACTATGGCCAACCAAACACATCCTATGGGATTGTTTTATTTCTTTTACCATGTCAGAAGGAAAAAAGAGGCAACTTTGTGATTGACATAACCAAATTCCTTGACCTGTTTTGAAAAAAAGTCAATCTTTTCACAACACAGAGGACTACAGATACAGAAGTATGTGGTTCATTTCCTATATGATCTGTAGCCATTCTGCAACTGTGAGTTTGTGAAATTTTTTTCTGTTCCACCAATGTTTTCACCCCGTAGTATTCTCCTGAATCTCACCCAAAACACACATATGATAAAGAACTGGCTACTCTTATCTATCCCCACACTCTCTCTTCATACCTGTATCAGAGCACCGAGTACCATATTACTTCCCTTTATAGTTTACTTGCCTGCATCCACAAAATTGAAACACCATAGACCTGTGTCATCATATCCTACTGTCTAACACATTATTTGGAACATATTAGTAATAAATGGATGAATTTAATAAATTGATGGAAGCTCCTAGTAAATATCAAGTTAATACATGGATGGAAGCTTCTAATAAATGCTGAAGTAATAAATGGAAAGATAAGCTCAAGGAAGCCAAGATTTCATGATTAAGAGGGCTGACTATAGTCCCTTCAAATGATACTTAATTTTATTTCATACTCAAATAATGATTGAAGTCTCTCTTTTGTATGTTTTTTAGGTTAATGAATTTAAAAAGTGGTAAGGTAAGTCATTAGTAATTTGTTGCTTTTTACAGTTAAAGCATTGAAATTTGTAGATCATTTTTTCCTGACCAGCCTGGGCAACATAACTAGACCCTGTGTCTACAAAAGCAATTGTAGATCATTTTGTTTTTATATAAGTACCCTTATAATTGCCCTACCAATACTGGTTCATCAGAGGATGTCAAAATACAATAAAAGGCAAGATTAATGGTAGAGCTGAAAATTTTAAAAATTAATTTAAAAAAACAGAAAAATAATGTGGTTTCTTTGTCTTGGGCAAAAGCAGTCCACATCTCCAGATATTAGCTCCTGAAGAATTCCTAAAAATCTTTAGTTTTAGGTCTTCTGTTAGAATAAATGCCCAGCAATCAGAAGAAAGTGGTATGTTTAGTTGGAAACGATGGATCCAACATCATTACCTCGGAGTTTAAACCACTACCTCAATTGCTAACAGTACCCGATAAGGTTATTTCCACCAATGCTCAAGAGCAGTTTTATTCTGGTTCCTTTTCCAAAGGACCAAATCCCCAGGTTTTAGATCAATCAAAGTCTGTTTAGGCAAGTATTTTGAAAATGCACTTGAACCTACTAGTGATAATTTGGCAGGTATCATAAGTCTCATGAAGCATTTATTTATATTACTGTGTAATGGTAGAACCTAGGATTGGAAGTAAAATTTTCAAATACGTGGGTAGGGGGAGGCTGTTAATTCAAGAAGAGATAATCTGTGGGTTCCAGAAGGGGTTGATTTATTGTCATCAATCAATCATGACTAATGGCAATTTGAAGGGCCATGAAATTTCTGTTTTTTGAATGTGTTGATAATTTTAGTTTTAGGACTCTGTTAGTTCTCTTTAGTTTTCCTAAAGTTTGAGGGAAATCAGTGTGTGGAGTTATAGCTCCCTAGCAAGGAAAAACCTCAGTCCATCCAGAGAGTAAGCAAACAACAACATAGTCATAGTTTATTCCAGGGAATTATTATGGGTTGGGTACTTTAGGAGGATTAATTATTTATTTGATGTATTTGATATATATAGGCTTATTCAGATTGTTTCTTCTTGTGTGAGTTTTGGCAGATTGTGTCTTTCAAGGGGTTCCATTTTATCTAGGTTATGAAATTAGTGGGATATAGTTGTTCACAGCATTTGTTATTATCCTTTTAATGTTCATGTCATCTGTAGAAATGTCCCCTCTTTTATTTCTGATTTTAGTAATTTGTGTCCTCTCTCTTCTTAGCGTGGCTAAAAGGTTCATTGATTTCATTGACCTTTTCAAAGAACCAGCTTTTGGTGTGATTACTGACTTTTTTACTTTCAGTTTTACCAGTTTATGCTTTAACTTTTATTATTTCTTTTCTTTTGCTTACTTTAGATTTAATTTGCTCTTCTCTTTCTAGTTTCCTTAGGTAGAAGTTTAGATTATTGATTTTTAGGTCTTTCTTCTTTTCTAACATACATTCAATGCTACAGATTTCCCTCTAAACACTACTTTGCTTCCTCCCATACACTTTGGTAAGTTATGTTTTTATTTTCTTGTGGCTCAAAATATTTTAAATTTTATCTTGAGATTTCTTCTTTGACTTATGTGTTATTTAGAAGTGGATTGTTTAAACTCGACATATTTTGGAATTTTCTAGCTATCTTCCTATTACTGATTTCTAGTTTAATTTCATTGTGGTCTGAGAGTAGATATTGTATGATTTATATAATTTTAAATTTGCTAAAGTGTGTTTTATGGCCCAAAATGTGGTCTGTCATGGTGAATGTTCCTTGCATGTTTAGGAGGAATGTTTATTCTGCTGCTGTTGAATAGTCTATAGATAGCAACTCTATTAAGATGACCGATGGTGTTGTTGAGTTCAATTACGTCCTTATTGATTTTCTGCCTGCTAGTTCTGTTCATATCTGATACAGGGGTATTGAAATCTTCCACTATAACAATGGATTCATCTATTTTTCCTTGTAGTTCTGTCAGTTTTTTGCCTTATATAATTTGACTCTCTGTTGTTAAGCACGTACACGTTAAGGATTGTTCTGTCTTCCTGGAGAATTGACCCTTTATCATCACGTAATGCTCTTCTTTGTGCCAACAAACTTTTCTTGCTTTGAAGTCTGCTCTGTCTAAAATTAAAATAGGTACTCCTACTTTTTTTTGATTAGTGTTAGCATGATGTATTTTTCTCCATTTATTTACTTTTATCTATAGGCGTATTTATATTTAAAGTGGGTTTCTTGTGGACAACATAGTTGGGTCTCATATTTTTGAACCACTCTGACAATCTCTTTTCATTGTTGCAGTTAGACCATGGATGTTGAAAGTGATTATTGATAAATTTAGACTAATACTTACTGTATTCATTATTGCTTTCTATTTGTTGCCTTTGTTCTCTGTTCCTATGTATGTCTGCCACAATTTTTCTGCTCTGTGGGTGTGTGTGTGCGCACGCGCACGCACATGTGTGTGTGTTAGAGACAGACAGGGTCTTGCTCTGTAATCCAGGCTGGAACCTAATGGTATGATCACAGCTCACTGTGGCTTCAAACTCCTGGGCTCCAGTGATCCTCCCAGTGAAACCTCTAGAGTATCTAAGACTACAGATTTACACCACCACACCCAGCTAAATTTTAAATTTTTTATAGAGACAGGGACCCACTGTATTTTTCAGGCTGGGATCAGATTCCTAGGCTCAAGCAATCCTCCTGCCTCAGCCTCCCAAAATGCTGGGATTATAGGCCTGAGCCCCTGTGCCCAGCTGTTTGGGGTTTTAATTGAGCATTTTATATGTTTGCATTTTGTCTCTCTCCCTCTCTCCCTCCCTCTCTCTCTCTCTCTTTCTCTCTTTCTTTCTCTTTCTCTCTCTCTCTCTCTGTCTGTCCCTTTCTTTCTTTATTTGTTTTTGAGGTGGAGTCTCAGTCTGTCACCCAGGCTGGAGTGCAGTGGCACGATCTTGCCTCACTGCAGCCTCCGTCTCCCAAGTTCAAATGATTCTCCTGCCTCAGCTTCCCGAGCAGCTGGGATTACAGGTATGCACCACCACACCCAACTAATTTTTGTATTTTTAGTAGAGATGGGGTTTCACCATGTTGGCCGGGGCTGGTCTCAAATTCCTGACCTCAGGTGACCTGCCCACCTTGGTCTCCCAGAGTGCTGGAATTCCAGGTGTGAGCCACTACACCCGGCCAATTTGAAGAGTTTAAAAGTCTTTATTGCCTCAAATATTTCTTCTTTTTCTTTCTTCTCCTTCTGATATTCCCATTATATGTACATTATACCTTTTATAGTTGTCCCACAGTCCTTGAATATTCCGTTCTGGTTTTTTTGTTTTGTTTTGTTTTGTTTTGAGATGGAGTCTCGCTCTGTCACCCAGGTTGGAGTGCAGTGGCGCAATCTTGGCTCACTGCAACCTCCGCCTCCGCGGTTCACGCCATTCTTCTGCCTCAGCCTCCCAAATATCTGGGACTATAGGCAC